TAATGTGTCTGTTGGCCAAAGACCTGTGTCATATGTCAAGTGTCTTTGGGCAAACGAACTGTGCCATATGTAATGTGTCTGTTGGCCAACGACCTATGTCATATGTAATGTGTCTGTTGGCCAACGACCTGTGTCATATGTCATGTGTATGTTGCCCAACGACCTGTGCTATATGTCAAGTGTCTGTTGGCCAACGATATGTGTCATATGTCATGTGTCTGTTGGCCACCGACCTGTGTCTTATGTCATGTGTCTCTTGGCTACCGACCTGTGCCATATGTCAAGTGTCTGTTGGCCAACGACCTGTGTCATATGTCATATGTCTGTTGGCCAACGAACTGTGTCATATGTCATATGTCTGTTGGCCACCGACCTGTGTCATATGTCATGTGTCTGTTGGCCAACGACCTGTGTCATATGTGAAGTGTCTTTTAACCAACGACCTGAGTCATATGTAATGTGTCTGTTGGCCAACGACCTGTGTCAAATGTCATGTGTCTGTTGATTAACGACCTGTGTCATATGTCAAGTGTCTGTTAGCCAACGACCTGTGTCATATGTCATTTGTCTGTTGGCCAACGACCTGTGTAATATGTGCCTGTTGGGCAACGAACTGTGTCATATGTCATGTGTCTGTTGGCCTCCAACCTGTGTCATATGTAGTGTGTCTTTTGGCCAACGACCTGTGTCATGTGTCATGTGTCTGTTGGCCACCGACCTGTGTCATATGTCATGTGTATGTAAGCCAACGACCTGTGTCATATGTAATGTGTCTTTTGGCCAACGAACTGTGTCATATGTTATATGTCTGTTGGCCAACGACCTGTGTCATATGTAATCTGTCTGTTAACCAACAACCTGTGTCATATGTAATGTGTCTGTTGGCCAACGACCTGTGTCATATGTAATGTGTCTTTTGGCCAACGAACTGTGTCATATGTTATATGTCTGTTGGCCACCGACCTGTGTCATATGTAATCTGTCTGTTAACCAACAACCTGTGTCATATGTAATGTGTCTGTTGGCCAACGACCTGTGTCATATGTCATGTGTCTGTTGGCCACCGACCTGTGTCTTATGTCATGTGTCTCTTGGCTACCGACCTGTGCCATATGTCAAGTGTCTGTTGGCCAACGACCTGTGTCATATGTCATATGTCTGTTGGCCAACGAACTGTGTCATATGTCATATGTCTGTTGGCCACCGACCTGTGTCATATGTCATGTGTCTGTTGGCCAACGACCTGTGTCATATGTGAAGTGTCTTTTAACCAACGACCTGAGTCATATGTAATGTGTCTGTTGGCCAACGACCTGTGTCAAATGTCATGTGTCTGTTGATTAACGACCTGTGTCATATGTCAAGTGTCTGTTAGCCAACGACCTGTGTCATATGTCATTTGTCTGTTGGCCAACGACCTGTGTAATATGTGCCTGTTGGGCAACGAACTGTGTCATATGTCATGTGTCTGTTGGCCTCCAACCTGTGTCATATGTAATGTGTCTTTTGGCCAACGACCTGTGTCATGTGTCATGTGTCTGTTGGCCACCGACCTGTGTCATATGTCATGTGTATGTAAGCCAACGACCTGTGTCATATGTAATGTGTCTTTTGGCCAACGAACTGTGTCATATGTTATATGTCTGTTGGCCACCGACCTGTGTCATATGTAATCTGTCTGTTAACCAACAACCTGTGTCATATGTAATGTGTCTGTTGGCCAACGACCTGTGTCATATGTAATGTGTCTTTTGGCCAACGAACTGTGTCATATGTTATATGTCTGTTGGCCACCGACCTGTGTCATATGTAATCTGTCTGTTAACCAACAACCTGTGTCATATGTAATGTGTCTGTTGGCCAACGACCTGTGTCATATGTCATGTGTCTGTTCGCCAACGACCTGTGTCAAATGTCAAGTGTCTGTTGGCCAACGACCTGTGTAATATGTGTCTGTTGGGCAACGAACTGTGTCATATGTAATGTGTCTTTTGACCAACGACCTGTGTCATGTGTCATGTGTCTGTTGGCCAATGAACTGTGTCATGTGTCTGCGGGCCACCGACCTGTATCACATAGCAAGTGTCTTTAGGCCAACATCCTGTGTCATGTGTAATGTGTCTGTTGGCCAACGACCTGTGTCATATGTCATGTGTCTGTTGGCAAACGACCTGTGTTATATGTCAAGTGTGTGTTGGCCAACGAACTGTGTCATATGCCAAGTGTCTGTTGGCCAACGACCTGTGTCATATATCATGTGTCTGTTGGCCAACGAACTGTGTCAAGTGTCCGCGGGCCACCGACCTGTGTCACACATCAAGTGTCTTTTGTCCAACGACCTGTGTCAGAGGTAATGTGTCTGCGGGCCACCGACCTGTGTCACATATTAAGTTTCTTTTGGCCAAAGACCTGTGTCATATGTCATGTGTCTGTTGGCCAACGACCTGTGGTATATGTCATGTGTCTGTTGCCCAACGAGCTGTGTCATATGTTAAGTATCTCTTGGCCAACGACCTGTGTCATATGTCAAGTGTCACTTGGCCAACGACCTGTGTCATGAGGGAACATGTCTTGATCAGGGCTGCCGTCGGGTGTATAGTGCCGACCTACTGAGGTTGCAAGACACAGATTGACACAGCAGACTAGTCCTGAGCCAGTCAGTCCTTTAACCGATTACTGGTCAAGGAAGGAAGCCACAAGTATTATCTTTAAACGTATTGAAACGACAATCCTCTTCTCTCTTGGCCTCTGAACCATCGACATTTTGCTCTCCAGACAGACGCTATCAACTGTACAACCGACCTTCTCTTCTCGCAGACATTCTTTTCACCTATACACCGACCACAGGCTCTCCTGACAGACGCTCTGTCAACCACAATGACCACGTGCTCTCCTGACAGACGCTCTATCAACTACACCGCCGACTTCCTGCTCTCCTGACAGATACTCTGTCAACCACACCGACCACAAGCGCTCCTGACAGACTACACCGACAAATTTCTATTCTCCTGACAGATGCTCTGTCAACCACACCGCCATCATAGTTCCTTTTAAATCTAATTCTAGAGGTGTTGCCATACTTTTTAATAATGATACTGATATCAAGATACATAGGACCTTAATAGATGAAAATGGCAATTATATTATTGCTGATATTTCAATGGAAGATTAATCTGTATGGATCTAATAATGGTGAACCTCAATTTTATATTAATCTATTTTAAAATATTTTAAAATCTGAAATTGATTATGCTGGATCAATACGCTGATGATACTGAACTATTTCTTGATGGAACCGAGGAGAGTTTATATCTCGCTATCGACACAATTAATGCATTTGATAAAATCTGGATTTGATCAAAAGCTTAATCTACTGATAAAATATGTAATGACCTGAAAATTGAATGGGTAACTGGTGAATTTGATGTACTTGGTATTAAATTTACACCAGATCTTGAAAACCTATGGGTAATCAAAACCAGAAAGGGACTGGAAGAAATTAATAGACTCTTAGCATCTTGGAGAAAAAGAAATTTAACATTTATTGGTAAAATAACAGTAATAAAACCCCTAGCAATCTCCAAACTAGTTCATATTTTCAATTCCTTGCCCAACCCTCCAGCAGAATTTATGACTTCGCTTTGAAAACTATTTTTTAAATTCATTTGGAATGATAAAAATGATAAATAAAGAGGAGTGTAATAAAAAGTAGATATGAAGATGGAGGATTGAGAATAATTGATACAAGTAGATTTATTGATGCTTTGAAATTATCAACCTTAAGATTATATTTTTAAAAAAAGGAAAATAAAAATCCATGCAATATACCTTTGAAATACATATTTAACTTTGGAGCTAATTCTGAAAGTTTTCTTGAGATTGAAAATCCTTTTTGGCATGATGTGCTAAAAGCTTGGAAACTATTTCACAAACAACATTATGTTGATCGAAATAACATTAATCAAATTTTATCCCAATCACAATTTCAAAAACTCTACATATTTTATAAAGAATTGGGTAGAGAAAGGGATTATGAATATTAGGGATATATGTGATGAGAATGGTTTACTATCAATAGAATCTTTAAAAGAAACTTATCATATCAAAGGCACCTTTTTAGATTTCAGATATTTACTGAACATTTTACCTGAATCTTGGAAATATACTTTAAAGCACTGTCTCTCTATTCCAGTCAGTAATTTGAATGTTAACCAATGCCAGATACATTTAGTAAAAGCATCCAAAGGCTGCAGAACTTTTTTAAGATGAACTTATTTGTAATGATAAATATCCAAACATTTGTAATAAATGGCAGTTTTTATTTTCTGAAACTGACTTGGATTGGAAAAATATATTTACAGTATATGGAAAGGGATTGCAAGATACAAAGCTTATAGACTTTCAATATAGACGTCTACAAGGTATTATTTACACAAAAAAGGAATTAGTCAACATGAAAACAATTGCAAAGATGTAAATGAGAGTGTGTGTCATGTGTACTGGGAATGTCAGGAGACTCAAACATTTTGGATAAACCTACAAATTCGGCTTAACAATTATTATCCACATCCATTGAAATTATCAAAAAACATGATTTGGTTTGGTACTCAAAATGAAAATAGGTTACTAACATCACATCATCATTGCTTCAAAGAGACATATTCACTTATGCTGTATTAAAAATATGCTTCCAAATCTAACTTTCTATATAAAAACTCTAAAAGAAATATTCTTTGTGGAAAAACATATATCAGCCAAAAGTGATAAAATAAATAATTTCCATCATAAATGGAGCCTTCTCTCCCAAGTACTTAGATGACTTGAACTGTATTGACTTGTACCGGACATTATCTGTACATTATCTATTTAATGAATTATGCATGTTTATAAATATATTAATACAAAAATATCTCACCTGTACATCTGTACATTATCAATTTAATGAATTATGCATGTTATAAATATATCAATACAAAAATATCTCACCTGTACATCATGTAGCCATATTACTTTTAAGCCGTACGTATCATGGCTTGGTATATCTGCAATATTGTAATCTTGGGAACCAATAAAAAAAAGAAAAAAAAGGAAGAAAAGTATACCTGTATGGGATAGTGATCAGATATACTGTAAAGCTGATGGTTATCTATGGCGTAACCAATGACATTACATCTATGCTCTGTGTTGACAAAAACATAATCAATCATAGTTTGGATATCCCTAAATTTCCTTGTATAAGTATATAATGTAGGACATTCCGTTCATGCAAGGCTCGAAGGAGCATTCTCGATCTAGACACACACAACTGTAACTCTCTAACTTGTGACTACTTAGAGAATAGTTGTATTTCATGTAATTTGTATATATTTATATATTTTAAATATATTATATTTATGCAATGGTCAGTATCGATGACGTCAAATCCTCCATTTTCATGTTGTATTATATGTTGCATGGGAGCGGTGTTAATAAAAGCAGTAATGCTTGTTCACCAATCCCAATTCATCTTCAGGAATAGAAATATGTTTAAATCATTCTCGATCTAGATTTCATATATTTACAGTCACGTAGATCTGTGTTAAAGTCACCGACCAGGACAGTCTCACCGTTATATGAATGTCTGTCATAAGCCTCAAAGAGGGTATTCATTTTGTCACTGTATACACTGTCCAAGACATTGGTAGATGAAAGACGTGCACCAATGATGTGGATCGGAGTCTTATACGTAGTTAGCTGCACACCAATCACATGATCACTCCCCGGGATGTGCAGACTAGAGGTGGAGTAACTATCGTTTTCCGTACAAACATAGCGACTCCTCCTGCTCCTCTGAGTGAGGAGTGATCAGTCTGACACTTAACATACACATCGAAGTCTGTATGTAGATCTGTAAGGAGGGATAGCTGATCCGTGTGTAGCCATTTTCACTGATAAACATCACATCTGTGCAGTCTAGTTTGGTGTTGATTTCGTCTAGACACGTAGCGGCACCCCTAACGTTCCAAGTGATAATACGGGAGAGCGTCATTGCCATAAGTAAAATGTTCATGACGTTCTTCATGGTCATTATTGTCTGTTATCACCGTACCATTGTTGCTTTGGCACCCACTCACGACAGTTGACGTTTTCGGGCCAGAAACAGTCATCATCTGCTATGACGTCAGCACACTTACTGGAGACAGCTATCCTGATGGTGTAGGTTGGGTTGTATCTGCTGTCCCAATGTTTTAGCAGCACAGTGTTCGTGACAGTAACACCACGATCTGATGCATACTTACAGATAGCATCCTTCACAACGTCAAAAGGTTCGTCAGCACGAACGTAACTGAGCACAAAACGCCTGTTGTTACTTCTGTGTACTCAAGTGAATGCACGTTTCCAGTGGTTGTTGAAAGTAACTGTAACATCTCTTTTGTCTTGTTTGTTGTCATTACTCTGTCCAGCAGGGTGTGTTGATTGCTGATCACATTGCTTGTCACCATTGCTTGAGTATGTGTCTGTGATTATGCAATCGCTTGTGTTTGTGAGAGAGTTGCGTGCTGCTGGGTGTATCTGGATGGCTTGGTGTGGTGTTGTTATATAAAGCTGGCTTTACAGATTGGCTTGGGAGATGATAGCCAGTCTTAACACATTCTGAATACATGAGCTTACTTCGTGTACTCATGCAATAAATTTGTCCATCAACTTCACGTACATTTTTGTCGATACGAGTTATGGTCGAATCCAATGTATCTTTTATGACTTGGAAATCAATGTCTTTTTGTTCAAGCTGTGTCTGTAACTGAACAACTTCTGCCTTGAGTGCTTTCACATGGGCCCGATGGCGTTCATTTTCAATCTCGACACGTCTAGCGTCATCTCTCTTACACTCATATGCGCCAGTAAGTTGTAACATGTCAGAGTTGTATTTATCTCGAAAGTCCTGTAGCTCTTGGGTTACATACTGAAAAATCTTCGTCATGTCTTCATGCATATGCATCATTTTAGACAGAACACTACATATTATATCTTTGTCTCGTTGTCTGCTGCAGCACTGGTACACTTTTGTCGAGATAGAACTTCGTTCTGTATTACATGTGCAGGCACACAGCCTTTGACAAACATATACAGCAGATATATATAAGATGCATATTTTGTCGAGACACTCTTAGTTTGTCGTTTTATTCTCTTGATCAAGACGCCGTCTGGAAAATCATCACATTGTGTCTTTGCCACGTCATATACAGACTGTCTTTTGAAGTTTAGACCAGATTCATCATTATCAAATTTGTCTATAAGCTTTCTTTCACAAGTTTTTCTGTCACATTATCCTAATATTTCATCAAGTTCTTTAATGATATCGTAGTCATGGTCATTATGATCTTGTGTGTCATATACTTGTGAAGAGTTCTTGTAAATGCAAGGTTTCTTTACATACATTTCAATGTACAAATTCTTTCAAATGTAATTGTTTACTAAGTTGTGACAATTGGTGTTTAGTTTTTTATCCATGGTGGTCCAATAATTAAAACACTTAATTAATATCTAAAGTTCATTTCCATTTAAATCCTTATCAGTCAAAATTGTAAACAATGTGGCCCAGTAAATTTCCATTACCCTGTGGCCTTCACCTTCATGTGTGATGTCAAAGCTCACAGGTCACATCATGACCTCTCCAAAGCTCATGCATTTTGGAGCACATGCTTACCAGTGTGTATTGGACCTCCATGCTGCCTGGTTGTCACCCAGCTGACTGTAAGCTGAACTATGTAAAGACACATATGTGAGTACTTTACCCTTTCATTGCTAATTTGTACTATCTCTAAATTACAATGAAATTGTATATATGCCAAAATGTTAATTGGTTGTGCAAAAATTGTTAATATATTTCACACAATTATGTGTAAATTTGTAGTTGTTACTTTTGCAATTTCAATGTATTCACATATCATTCGAATGAAACATTGAATGTTATGTGCTATGAAATTTGTACATTTTTCTGAATTTCATCGAAAGCCATTGTTTGTTGTAGTTTTCTGAACCTCATCAGCTCATCAGCAACTTTACTCTTCAAGTGAACGCAATAATATTCATCAAGTCCTCAGCAGCAGCCATTTATTATGAACTGTAATTTCTTAAATATCAATACATTAAACCCTGTTGCTGCGAGTATCAGTTTTTGTGTTCTGCATTAACAGTTCTGATCACTCATGCTTGAAGTGTGTAAATAGTATATTTACCAGACTGGTTTCCTTAAAATCCAGGAATAGTCCATAAAATTCACACTGCACAAGAGAATGTATCCATTTCTTGAAGTAAGCAAGCGTAACTTCGAATGTTCTCAGTCACTTCAAGATCAGTCAACCGTGAGATAAGCCCGAGAGCTCCCACAGAGCACATCTGCTCACCTCAGCGTACCAAGCCAAACACAACAGTTACAAAGTTTAATTGCACAGTCGTGAGTGTTTGTGGATGTACATAGTTTGATATACAAAAATTTAACAGAAATGAGAGATGGTAACCCAAGAGTAAATAATTATAACATGTCCATTGTACTTTCCATTTTAAAGATATGATAAACTCTTTTAGCAATACCAATCAATAGTTGTACATTATCAGTTTGTAGCATGTTCACAAACTTTATCATACTTGGTCCGGCAATGACATGCTTTGGTAGATTCCTTATACTTAAATATTTTGGACAAATGAGCAAGATATGATATTCATCTTCAACATCGTTCACACAAAAAGGACACAGGCGATCGTGTAATGGTGTTTTAGGTGTAGTCCATCTACCCTTTTCAATCATCAGTGTATGTAAACTCAGTCTGAACCGTGTAAGAGCAATAATTATATCAATATGTACTAGATACTTTTCAAAATCTAAACAATCTTTAATTTGCAAATATAATCTAGTTTCACTCAACGAATTTAAATCATTTCAACATTCATCACACACATGACACGTGTTAGTAGTCATATGACACAGGTCGGCAGTCATCAGACACATGACACAGGTCGACAGTCATGCGCAACAGCCCTATAGAAACCTATACTATATTGAATACACTGTAAACACGCATACAGACCTATTGACATATTATTTCGGATCACGTATGCGTTGACAAGATGTCAAACTAATGACTACCACAACTCATGTTTGTATGTGAAGAGGAGTGAATATCTTGCTCTTGTAGATGTTATACAGTTAAAAATGGGTACGGGTGTTCGTCCACAACCAAAGCAAACCGGTTTCCACTGGTGCTGCAGGTACATTCGGCTGAGGACTGAATGATTCAGCACTCCTTTACAAGTTGATTTCAATAGTTTCAAGTCACACCCTCAATTAACATTTTGAATATAAAGTTCTCTTTATTCAACAAAGTAGGTCGCACGCTCTGGCGAGCACGAGTTTTTAAAATCCAGGTACATTCATTCAGGGTGACATAACTACCTCGTCATTGCGCGCATCATTTGAACTATGCTTTATTTTCGCTTCATGAAAGGTTTCATGCAAAATAACACGACCGCATTAAATGAAACAAGGGCTCATTCACCGTTCTGACCTGTGACATCATGCATTCATTATCATATGAATGAGTTCTCGTGCATATTAATCAGGGATCCGGCAGAGCAGCTTGTACTTCCACCAACAATACTACTGACGATAAATATGCATTGTGTACATATCTATCCACATTTATTGAACTTATTTCAGATATTATTATCCAAGCATATTACATTCATTTTCCCTTACAAGACGTAATGCTCTCTCTCTAGACATGATAGTTCTGGACCAAGTCCAACAAAAGCCTCTGCCAAATTTCAGGCCCTTGATCCCGCCACCATTACCCCTACTGCTTTTGAGACCCCCGGCACTCAAAAGCCTTTTAAAAAGTTGAAACGCCAGCGGGATACGAACGCCCAATGTTATACCTCCCAGCCGCACCACTCAACCGACTGAGCTACCGGGGACATGGCTGAAGTATCTCGGTTTAACGGGTCTATCCTAGGATCTCCACTTGCCTCTATGCCGTGTTGGCAGGAGGTAACATTGTGCTGTACGGTACGATCAATAATTCCGCTCTAACAAACCCTCTACCTGGCCCATCCCTCTAGTAGTACAAGTTAGGCTCGTCCTCTTTGATGTCCACTTTATCTATGTTGTAAGTTTTGACTGACCATATAGGATCGGTGGCTCTCTTATGGCTATCACCCTCGTGTTCTCCCGGCTGGTATAGATACCTCACTAGGGCCCTATCTGGTATCTGTTTCTCTTTCCCACGCAATGGAGCAGCCGACTCTACCACTATTGATTTTAGTTTGATAGCGTCTGCTGGCTTCTTACCAGTGAGCCGGGTGGCTTCATGGTTGAATGCCGACACCACCTTGGGTAACCTCGTGACCCATTCAGTCGATCACTTCCCCGGGTTGGCCATCTCCCTCGCATACTGATGACTGAATAAGCGTTCAGCCAAAGTCCTATTGAATCTCTCAACTATGGCCTGGCTGTGATGGGCTCCAGCCGTGCCACGCCTGACCTTTGTATCGTGTTTGTCTAACAGGTGTGACACGACACCCATGAACTCCCGGCCGGGGTCAACTTGCAGCTCTGTTGGCCACGTCAGCGGACTGCGTTTGTATATGCGTTCGAATCCTCTGGCTACCTGGGCTGAGTCTTTCGAGGTCAAGGGTTCGGCTTCCTTGTAGCGACTGGCCATGTCCACGATGGTTAAGGCATACTTGTACCTCTTGTCGTTGGGTAGGAATAGGAGGTCGGCCTGGTGAATGCTATTAGGTATGTTAATACCAAACTTCCTTCTAGGCACGTAGCGTGGTGGTGGCAAATAGATCTGCCACAGGGCTTGTTTTTCAAGCCACGCTTTGGCCTCCTCCGGCGGTACTCGTGCCATTTTAGCCAGCTTATCTACAGCGCTAGCTCCTTTCCAGTACCCACGTGGGCTATAGTAAATAGCCTCAAACTTTCTCTGGTTCCGTGACATATATACATCTATGTCCTTGGTTCAATTTTCTCATGCCCGTACGCGTACGTGTTTATCCCATCAATATCTATCCATCGGTGACAGGGACGTCTTGTTTATAGTCAGTCCGTATATCCTATGCCCATCACTTCTAAGTGTGTTCATTTTACGTCTAAAGGTACGGGTCTTGAACAAGGCTTCCTTGAATCTGGCGTGTTTGATGTGTTGTTTCACCACATACTTCTTAACACCCTTCGCCTTACGGATCTCACCATTGTCGGCCTTCAGTATGGAGTACATCTTAGGCCTCAAACCTATGTACTCGGCTATGGGCGTGCCAGCACACTCGTCCTTCATCTTACCTAGGACCTTTTTATTTACCGTGCTGTGTATGGTATGGTCCTTGGGGTAGTCGCTGGTGTCGTACAAATCGAGGCGTTTCTTCATGTCCTCGTACAGGTCCTCGGTTCGAATCTCCATCAGCAGGGAATCCGTGTCAGTGTACAGCACTTCACACCTGTCGTCGTACTGTTTCTTCAGCTCGTTGTAGTAAAAGTCGTACATCAGGTGTTTGGATAAATCGAGGATGCTCATCCCCACGTAAACAGGCCGGTTGAATTTGATGTGGCTTTTCTTCATGTGTAGGGCAACTAGGTCATCGGTGAATATTTTGCTACGGTTGAATGCCGGACTGGCTATCAGCCTCCTGAGCTTGTCTTCCTCATTCGACTGAACCAGCTTCACGGTCACGCGTTTCCTCAGGTTCTCCATAGTCTTACCAAATACCGAGTTGTTCATGAGCTTGTAGAGGTTTTTCTCAAAGTCACTGGTGGCAAGCTTTCGGAGGTCTGTGTTCATTCTGATGTATGGTTCCATCCATGGGCTCTGGTTGAACACGAGCACCCTGTGTATTTTGGTCAGCCTCATACCCAACGACAGGTACAGCTGTAGGTTGCGATAGTGAACGATGTACTTGGTCTTATTCATTAAGTTGGGCACGAGTTTTTCAACGTCTGCCACCCGCCCACCTAACAAGTTATGTTGGTACTCCAGTCTGGGTTAACTCTCATACGTTCGGGGGCCAGGGGGTAGCTGTTGTGTGATGTGTGTAATGCCTTGGGGTATTCCAAGTCAACCTCAAGGATATAACCTTTGTTCGAATCTGGTGAGATGCTCATAACATCGACCTTATGTGACTCCCATTGGAATCCCCCCTGTGGGTAGATACTGGCTCATAGCCCAGCCGTACAGGTTGTTGGCGTCGAGGTAGAGAATATGATTGGTTGGCTTGCTTGGGTCGTAGCCCTTCACGTATTGATTATTTGCTTTCGCATATCGTTTGGTTGCCATGGAGATCCCGCATCCCAAGCCTTTCTCAATGAATAGGTGCATGTCATAATCTGTAAGCAATTCCAACTTAACTCCGGTCTTTTTCAACAAGGCATCCCACGACAGACCTGGGCTGGTGTAATACCATGTGGGGTCGAGTTTATACTGCTTGAAACATGTCCGCCTAAACGTCTCAAACACGTCGGCTAACAGCAGTACATCTGTCCTCAAGTACAGGTCGTGATAGTCACCCAGATTCTTACAGCCTAGTTTATTCCATACACTAATAGCGTGTGAGTAATCGTCTTTGGATATTGCCGAGTCTGTAAGATTGCTGTAAAATTCTCTGATGGGGGGCTAGTCTGGTTTCGGTGAACTTGGCCCAGCCATCCATGTACTCATAGGGGTACACACCCTTCCTCATCAGCAGGGGTCTAGTCTCGGCGTCGGTGTATCGATCGGTGATAGGGAAGGTATCGTTGGCCTTGACCAGACTGTCGAGTGACGACAGGAGGAACTGAACCGAGTCGATGAACCTCAGGCCGTTTAAGCTGAAGGAGATGTATCTCTCCATGATGCACGTCAGGTTGCCATCGATTTTAGCGATGGCATGCATGATTAAGTGAGAGTCGTACCCTCTCAAGTTGTGAAAGACCACGGGGATGTTTATTGTCTTAAGGGTGATTCTAAGCTTGAGGTTACACTTGCTGTGAGCGGCGCCTCTATACTTATCGTTCACGTGGCAGTGATCTCTCACCGAGTCGCCGTTCAGTGGTGAGTCACACACGTGACAATTAGTGCTACAGGCGTGAGCTAGCCGGTCGGCTTTGGTCATACGCATGGAAGCGACTGCATACAGTGCATTCCTAATAATTTTTTCTTCCTCCTGCAAACACTTAAGAAATTTTTCAGCCGCGTCTGGGCCCCTATACACTACAGGAGCTTTCGTTTTCCCATCACAACGGACGACTATGTATCCAAACCCACAGGCTTCATGCTCCTGTGTTTTGTGTGTGAAGCTCTCACCTGTGGGTAGAGCATTGGGGATACCCCCGGCAGCCTCAACAGGTTTGACCAAGGCTTCAAAGTCGGCGTATATGATATAAGGCACAGACATTTGGTTCTTGTGGTTGTCAAATTTTAGGATATTATCACCTTCCTTAGGCATGTCGACTCGTATGGCCGTCTGTCCCACACCTTGGCAAT